AAAAAAAAAAAAAAAAAAAAACTACTGGAACTTATTGAAAGATATAGAATAATGGCAGAATATAAGATCAACACACAAGAAACAGTTGCATACATCTGCACCAGTAAAGATGTATCTGAAACAGAAATAAGGAAATCAGTATCATTTAAAATATGTATCAGAAAGATAAAACACTTGGGACTAAACCTTACCAAGAACACAAAAGACATATACAAAGAAAAATACAAAACATTACATCAAGAAACTATAAGGTATCTACATAAATGGAAGAACATATCATGCTAATGGATAGGAAAATTGAACTTTGTGAAAATGTATGTCAATGCTACCCAAGGCTCTTCCAATTAAACAAAGTTACAATGGAGTATTTATTTATTTGAATCAAAGAACTTTGTGATTAAGTTGAAGACCTCCTTAATTTGGAGCATCATGGCCCCTGCACTCCCCATTAAGACAACAAATCTTAACCCTAAGATATGCATTCCCTTATTAGTTAGTGTCTTCTTGAGGAAGGCTTTGTGTTCTGAGGCAACAACAGTCCAGTGTATACAGAAGTTCCAACAGGAAAAGTGAAACAATTTCTGAAGACTTTCCTAAACTAATGAAACCTTGATATCACCAGCAACAAAGGTAAGCATTGTAAGATGTAGTCACAATTCAATCCATAATTGCTGAGTTCCTGTTTGTTCCACATGTTTATAACTAATCTGAGGGTCCACAATTATCAGCAGCTTTCTCCTAGTGAGATAATTTCCTCTTATTAACAAGAACACGTTGTATATATTCTTTGTTTCTCTATAGCTTATGAAGGTCTTTGGCTAAAAATGACAGTATTCTGATGTGAAAAACGTAATTTGTCATCTTACTAATGACTACTCACAGTCTTATTTTGATTATATATTTTTTTCTGTCACAACACTAATAAAAGTATTACATTTCTCCTGTGATTTTTTTTTCCCCTATAGATTTACATCCCCTGTTTCCTGAGAGAAATGGTCAAACAAAATGATTCCAGAGTTACTGAGTTTGTCCTTGAGGGACTGACAGACAAACCAGAACTCCAGCTGCCTCTCTTCTTTGTGTTACTAGGTATCTATGGGATCACTGTAATAGGAAATGTGGGTATGATCCTGGTAATCACTTTCAATTCCAAGTTCCAATCTCCCATGTACTTTTTGCTTGGCAATTTTTCAGTCATAGATCTCTTTTACTCCTCAGTTGTTACCCCTAAACTCCTTGGAAACTTTGTATGGGAGAAAAATGTTATTGCCTACCCTGCATGTATGACAAGACCTTTTTTCTCTTGTCTTTTTGCTACTGCTGAGTGCTATATACTAACAGCCATGGCGTATAATAGATACGTGGCTATATGTTGTCCATTGCTCTACAATGTCACTATGTCTCAAAATGTCTGCAACATGCTGGTGACTGGTGTCTATATCATGGGATCTACTACAGCTATGATCCACACTGTGTCCATGATGAAGCTTTTCTTCTGTGAGGACAGTGTCATCCACCATTATTTCTGTGATGTACTCCCTCTCCTAAAGCTCTCATGCTCTAGTACTTATGTCAATGAGGATCTGTTGATATTTGTAGGTGGATTTAATGTGCTCATAACAACTTTGGCCATCATAATCTCTTATGCCTTAATACTGTGTAACATTCTTCAAATGTCTTCAGCTGAATGCAAGTCCAAAGCCTTTGCTACCTGTGGCTCTCATCTTATAGCTGTTTTTTTTTTTTTTTTTTTTTTTTTAATGGATCCATTATATTCATGTATTTTAAGCCCACATCCAGCAGCAACCTGGCACAGGAGAAGGTGGCTGCTGTGTTCTTCACCACAGTGATCCCTATGCTGAACCCTTTGATCTACAGCCTGAGGAATAAGGATGTAAAGAATGTGCTGAGCAGAGTCATGGGTATGAAGTACCCAGGGTAGCAGTAGGAACCACTAAAGATTATGGTAATAGTGTGCTTCTTCTTTTTTTTTCCCTCTTAAAACTAATTTGTTTTTCTGTTTATTATAATTAACATCTTATTCTCATTCTTTTTACTACAGTTATCATATTTTATGTTCTGATTGAAATTTGTGTGTGCATTCACACATAGACAAGCAGATAAACACAAACATACACACATCTGTTTCTTGCACAAGAAATTTTATCATATTAAGATTTGTATATCTTTGATGAGGCTCAACCATGTTTACTTTTAAAAATTTGTCTCAGGTGAATCTGCGTAGTACTACATCCTACCCTATTGAGAAACTGTAAGGTAGAATGTATTTTTCCTTTAGTTGGGAAAATTGACAGGTATTCCTTTCTTAATTTCCTAACTAGCTTTATGATACTGTGGGTAAGTGGTTTCAGACCTAGGCTATAACAGAAAATAATAATTTTAAATCTTGATCAAAAATTGAATCCAAAATCAATTATATACTTAGCTGATTAGTCCCTGTGGATGGGTCCTGTTCTGTTGTTGTTATACCATTTATGTTTCTTCTTAAAGTAAAAATTCTCACTAGTGAACCTTCACAAAAATGGATGATTAAATCATTAATAGTGAAATGTCTAACTCCTGGTCAGATAGTGAAGTTATTTTCTATGTTGAAACTTCACTTTCATTCCAAATCTAATAGGCAACTAATGATACATCTTTTCAAAAGTTCAGCATAATAAAAAAAAAAAAAA